TTTGGAGAGAAACGGTTAAATTTGGGAAAAATTGAAAGCTAAGCGGTTGGGTTCCTGCCAGTTTTTTTAATGAATATTAACTAAATCTAAACAAATGTTTGTTACTTAGTTTTAAAGCTACATACGAAGAAAATATCCATAGTTTACATTTTACATTAATCAAAACTATTTTATATTCAGAACAAGAAACTCTGTAATAAGAAACGCTTTCTTTTTTGTTTTATTTGAATCTACTGTGTTCACAAAATTTTAATTATTTTCTTTTAGTTAGTCATCAGTTTAGGTAAGTATATAGGTACTATCTAATATCTTGTTTGGGCAAACAACAAAGATTATTAATTTTTTATTAATCTTGTCTTGCTTTTAGAGTGCTCGTAAGTGAAACATGAAATTTTTAAAGCTAACACTGAAGCAGCACAGTCTCACAAAAACGAGTAAATTTAATTAAGTTTATCCTAGATAACCTTCTTCGTAAATTCTTTTGAATAAGAAGTACAAAATTAACTAAAGGAAATATCAATGCCATACCTATAAGTGTAGGAATTTTTAATGAAAGTTTTCAGCAAACAAAACTTAATAACGGAGAACACTACCACCTAATAAAATTGTTAATTTAGGTATGTACATCGTTTGTTTTACAAAAATATTTCAATAATAATACTAAGTACCCTAAAGAATAGAACGATATTACTCTTTTTTCGCAGGATTCAAATGTTTTTTATAAAAAAAAAAATCAATTCCCACTTTACTCATCGTTCTGCTCTTCCATCACATCTTAAACCGAGAACACTTTTTTGAAATAGTTTTTATGGCAAGACATCTCTCTCTCTCTCATTTTCTATTCTTCCTTTTGGTTGGTACCTAAAAGAGTACAAGTAGTCAGCAATCCTCTGTTCCGAGAGCAAACCCTCTTAGACTCGCGTCGCATTTCTTTCTTTTATTTTCGCACTCTCAACACAATTCCCCGTTGGTGTAGCCCAACCCCCGACCGCTTTCAACTACAAGTAGAGGAAAGGACTTTATACGATATTATACCTAAACCGCAATCGGTTCAGAATTTATTTTATTCCGTCCTACACATATAATACGGCTGTATTTTGGCGACGATATTATACTTATCAACAAATTCAGATTCATACGGGACGAGTTGGACTCAAAAAAAAAACTGAAGAGTTAATATGCATTAATCAGGGGCACTGTTGCCACTTTAATGACTAACCGCTACGTTACGTATCCATTAATTAACCTTTCGCGTTTCATGTTTCAATTTATTGCAGAAAGCAAAGGATTGGCAATTACCTATGCGACTATGTGACTAGTAGGTACCTACCGACAGAGATATGCGTAATATTGCCTGTGAAAATCAGAAACCGTACGGTCGCAAACCCACAAGCATTCGAGTAGGTACAATATCTCGCCACTTTACAAAATCCATATTGATTACTCATCACAACGAATAATCCAGAACAGATCAAAGCGCAAGTGATGATCTGTTTGTTACGTTAACAATAACGGATGGTTGCACATTATTATTGTAACACGTTATCAAAGCATCTATCAATATGTGCAGTTCTTATCCCAGAAACGGGCAAAACCCACAGAGGAAAGGGCGCGGCGAGTCGAGGACGAGTCTCAAACAATAATTAATGTGTTCCAGATATTTTTTGTCGGGAAGTAACCATCGATGTATACAATAGCACTTTTCATAAAACATCACAATTATCTTCATTTATTCGTCTATAAGTAGCGAGAGTATGAGTCATAGCGGCGAGTGCACGGCGAGTTGAGGGCGAGTCTCTAACAAAAACTAAGGTGTTCCAGATATTCTTTATTAGAAAGTGAAGATTAATGCATGCAATAGCAGTTACATTTCATAAAAACACACCCATCTTCATTTAAACATCTTTCAATACCGAGAAACTGTATAAACCATACTGGCGAGTGCGCAGCGAGTCGATAGCGAGCTTCTAACAAAAATAGTATTCCAATTTTTTTTGTCAAGAAGTAACCATCGGTGCTAACAATAGCAGTTACATTTCATAAACGATCACATCCATCTTCATTTAAACATCTGTCAATAGCGAGAAGTCACACGAGTCACAGGAACGAGAACACAGTAAGTTGAGAACGAGTCACCAGCAAATTAATGTGTTTCAGATATTTTTTGTCAGAATAGCAGTTATATTTTATAAAAAGTCACATCCATCTTTATTTAGATAACTAGTAATGGCGAGAAATCGAATGAGTTACAGCGGCGAGTGCGCGATGAGTGGCGGCCGAGTCTCCAACAAAAATTAATGTGTTTCGGACATTTGTTGTTAAATTGTAAACATCGGTGCATACAACAGCAGTTACAGTACATAGAAAATCACACTCATCTTCATTTAGACATCTACTAATGACGAGAAACCGCATGAGTCACAGCGGAGAGTTTGCGGCGAGCTGAGGGCGAGTCCCTAACAAAATTAAGGTGTTCCAGATATTTTTATCAGAAAGTAAATATTGGTGCACACAATAGCAGTTACATTTCATAAAAAATCAAACACATCTTCATTTAAACATCCATCAATAGTGAGAAACTGTATGAGTCTCAGTGGCGAGTATGTAGCGAGTCGAGGGCGAGCCTCTAACAAAAATTAATGTGTTTCAGACATTTTTGATCAGAAAGTAAACATCGGTGCATACAACAGCAGTTACATTACATAAAAAATCACACCAATTTCCATTTAGACATTTATCTATAGCGAGAAACCACATGAGTCATAGGGGCGAGTGTGCGGCGAGTCAAGGGCGAGTGTCTAACAAAAATTAAGGTGTTTCAAATACCTTTTGTCGATAGAACAGCAGATCTTCATTTAGACATGAGTGTGGTTGTTTTCGAATTGCTTCAAATCGTATGTAGCCAGATGTATTTATATTTGCATTTGTGTGTATTTTGGAGAGAAACGGTTAACCAGTTCGAATATTAACGGTTAGATGGTTCACAATGGAATCGAAAGCAGAAAAAGTTTCGAATTTAAATAACAATGCCCTTTAACTGTTGCACTTCCAATCGTGCGTGCTTTGTACTGACTGAACCAAATTCAGAGTTTGAGAATTGTTTTTTTTTTGAACCTCTGTTCCTACTTTGTTCTATTTTTATTAAAACAAATGCAACAGTGGTCACTTTTTGCTTAAATCCAAATCTCATCTCTGTAAGGTATGTATATGGATGATTCGTAATATCGTGTCTGTTGTTTCTTTAAGATGGACTTATGATGTACCTAGTGCAGTAATTATCATTAGTAAAACTCAATAATGCTCTTAATAAGTAAGCAATCTGCAAGTGTTTGTACAGTTTCAATTAGATCGGTTCTAAGACCGACTAGTTTCGATATCGACGTACCTAATATGTATGTCAATTGAAAGCTAGTTTACATATTCGAAGCACTTGGACAACAGCATTTGCCCAATCAATCTCGAGATCAATATATACATGCAACTGTCGTAGTACAGACTGGCTATCATTAAATTTACATAACAACCCTCTCTTCTTGGCGAATTGAGCACATCCACGGTCGATGATGAATCTCTAATCGTTAGGTGCAGCCATCAAAGAGAAATTATGAGAACCAAAGATGTGATTTATTTGAAATATGTGGCAGCAACGACTGGGGCAGTCTTAATCTTGGTTTTGCTTTTCTTATCAGTAGAAAGGATTTAAAACATTTTAACTTATGAAGAGTTTCTTTTTATTCGTTTTTGGTATAGAATCCCAAAAAAGTAACCAAAGTCAAGCCACGCATTAAATTTAAAAGTGACGAACGATTATATAGGTAATATATATGAGTCAAACTACCCATAAATATTTTAATATTGGGCGTAATTAATAATTTCTAATATGCAGGTTTGTGTTTGTTCTTTCTCTTTGCCTGTACTCTGTACCTATCGCATATATATTTACGCTTTTATTTCCTCATCAACACGTAATATCCATTAAACACGATTCAAATTGAAGCTAAATAAGGCATACCAATGTTTGTATTATACAATATGTATAGGGCTTTTTAATATAACGGACGGACCTCGGTTGGTATTTTGTGTCACACAAATGGTGAAATGACAAAGAGAGAGAAATACAGAGAGTGAAATAGCACAAAGTCATGCACTCATCGTTTGTTTTTCCGCCAATTTCAATAGTTCGATGATGAGATTAAAATGAACGACGTGAAAACAGGTTCGACTGGCACCAGATGACAAAAATATTACCTATTTGAACCGGGCATTCGCGAATTTACGTCGCCATTTGAACGTTATCAATTACATCAAATTGATATATGACGTAAAATAGAAACGAATAAAGAATTATCACGTTTTCCTTTTTGGTCGATTAATAGGCGTCGTAGTAGTTATAATACAAAATGCACCCTATCTGACATGACGTGATAACTGGACTGTATTCAGGGACAATTTTAGAAAACACTCGATTCAATACGAAAGGCTAGAGGCCAAAATGTGACCAAAAACCCAAAATTAAGGAAACTGCTTCAAAGTGAAGCAGGTTCAGTTCTTTTGGGTGCATATTCTTGATTTTTTTTTCATTTTTGGACCCTAATCTTTCGCGTAGGTATCTCAGCAACTTCTAACCGCTGAATCGCTTAGGTACAATTATTCGGTTATCTCTTTTCATATTGTCTGTACTTCTCATGCAGCATTTTCTACCTTAACAAGGACGTGTTCATAA